AATTGCCTTGCAAATCTCTTCACTGTATTTAGCTCTTTCTTCTGATTCAGCAATCGTGTTGACAGGAAATATGATGGAATCATCATCAGATTGATGAATAACGCAATTTTGCAAGTAAGATTCCAATGAAGACATTGAAGACTTTAGAATCTCTTCCTTTTCTTTTAGAGTAGCATCGCTCACCTTGTCATAATGTGTTCCCAATACAAGATGCATGGAGTGTGTCGGTTTCTTGGAGATGCAGGAAATATCAAGAGGCTTAAAACTAGCTCCAGTCGAAACTGCAGACTGGAAGAATGCTAACTGAGTTGACTTGGAGTGGCATGGGAAGTATTGTCCATCGATCCTGTACTCCAGATCAAACCTCTCATTGAAAGGCTTAGATAGATCCAGTGTTATTATATTGAGAGAAGCTGCTCTAGTGAATAAAGGCAGTAACTCCTGGTATGCTGGCTGACCACCGGAATCAATAATGTACAGCCAATGATCGCTTTTACGAATCCCTTTCGGTTGACTCGCTAAAATTTCCTGGACGACTGCTTCGGTATGATACTCTTTGTCTTCTTTGATAACTTTCGCCTTTGATGAAACTGCTTGATCAGGCTTCTTCTGTGGAGTAGGAGATGGATCTGGTCGTATTTCTGTTGGTGGTTGAGTATTATCTAGCAAAGTGAAGACTACGGGCAGGGGAGGCTCTTTTGTTTTGTTTTCAAGTGAAGCTGATTCCAAATCCGCTGCTAATTGGTCGAGTAATTTGTCTCGAGTAACTCGATTCCAAATTGTTTTATCGCAAACGGCAACTCTTATAGCTCTAACGGCAGGGCAGGCGATGGGTGTACTGGTGTCATTAGTGGGTGGGTCTTCATTTAGTAGGAGGAGCTGTGAACAGGTTTTACCAGCTCCAGGAGCACCAAGCATATTAACACGAGTAACAGTTAGATCAACACTCCCTTCCTCCATCCACTTCCCTACAGCATCTATATAATATAATGAAATAGTATAATTAATAAACATAGCAGGAACTGTCTTGTGTATACACAAAGAGGTCTATTACATTATTAGATTAGTGTGTGTTACATTAGTGAGTGTATCACCTAACCATTACTGATTGTGTGTATGTACTTATGATTGCTGTACTACAATGGATTCTGTTATCATTGTGAAAAGGTTTTATTAAAACAATAGATGGTTAGGAATCTCATTAGCTGCTAATACATGAAATAGAATTATTTATTGGCCGGCAAGCATGAGCGTACCTCACATAAGTGAAACATGTGTTTGGTACATGTACATGTACATGTATGTGTTAATACCTTGTATTCTTCTCTTCTGATATTCATTAATGTCCAGTACTGACTTTACTACCAAATCACCAGTACTAGATACTAATAATAATAATAATAATAATAATAATAATAATAATAATAATAATAATAATATTCTTAATACATGTATAGTTTCCTTGTTTTATTTTTATTTTATTTTTTCCTCATAGGGCCTTCCCTCTCCTTTCCCTTTTTTGTTTTTCTCTATTATTAGCTCTAATTAGTTCTTGTTTTTGATAATAATAATAATAATAGTAATAATAATAATAATAATTGGGGTGAGTCTAAGCTCGCCCAACTCTAGCAGTACTCTCAGTCACGCCCCCTCTGTCCCTCACTCTGTCCTCGTACGTCACTCCTACTTATGTGTAGATCTAATACAGTCTATGCATTACCAATGCAATATAAAGTCAATTTTCAATTTTTTGTTGAAAGTGGGAGTGGTCACAGTGAAATAAAAATGACGACCAACATACTGAAAAAAATTATGAGTTTTCTGGCAGCAATATAAGGCAGATACACCATCCAAAGACTTCTCCAGCAGCTATAAGAATCTATGAAGCTTGCCTTTATTGATGCAATTGCTATAAAAATTGTGAAAATCAATCAAGCTTATCTTAACATTGGATAATATTACATCTAAAACTAAGTAAAGCATTTTTACAGACGTTTTTGGGCTAGAAATGTGTACCAGACTAAAAGTTAAATAAAATAAATGATATAAAGTGATTTTATCAGCAGCATTAAACTTTCATCATATATACATCTATGTAAGGCTAGGCAAATTATGCTAGCATAATTTGGAGCATAATAGGGCAAGTGATTATGCTGGCATAATTGGGTCAAAATTTTTTGTCTATTATACCCCTGACCACATAAAATTGCAGTTCAATATGGCAGATGGTGGTACAAGCACTAGTACAATAACTTAGGCTATTCTATTTTCCAGTGACTCAAGGTCTTTGGAAACATTTCCAGATTCTGGCATTATTCATTACAATTATAACAGACACATACATGTATGTAACTTGATAGTCGATACTTGATTAAAGCATAAAGTATGAGCATAAAATGAGCATAATTGGATTCATTTCAAAGGATAATAGGATGAAATTTGGAGCAGTGCCTAAAAGCATAATAGGCAGAAATTGAAGCATAATTTGCCTAGCCCTACATCTATGCTTGCTATGCCTAAATCATGATGCATGCTTTGAAATCATCGGGAGTAGATTATAGATGGATAGATCCAGTGCCATATAATTGCTTTGCTAGCTTAGGCTCGCCCCAGTAATAATAATAATAATAATAATAATAAGTTGTGTAGTCAATTATGAGTGGGTGTGATTAAAAGTTGCCCCACCTACAAATACACACACTTTCAAATCTTGGTAGAATTCACACTTTCAATGCTATACTAATTTTAGTAGGCGTGTACAATCGTGCATAAAGCCACACCCCTCACTCATT